CTGCAGGGCGTGTGCATGGGGTAGGGGCAGGTCTGTGCGTGCCCTGTGGGAGCTGCAGAGGGATGTGTCCATGCCCTGGGGTCTGGGTGGGGCCATGGGGCGCCGCAGGGTGTGTGTGCGGGAGCTTGTCCGTGCCCAGGGGCGCTTCAGGGTGTGTGTGAGCCGTTTGCCAGGAGCCCTGCAGGGTGTGTGTGTGTGTGTGGGGAGTGTCTGTCCATGCCCAGGGGTGCTTCAATGTGTGTGTGGGGGGGAATCTGTCTGTGCCCTGGGGGGCCACAAATGAGGACCTGCCCCTGCCCTGTGCAGGGCGCTGCGAGGCCATACGAATGCTGCTGGCCGACCAGGAGCAGGAGTGGAAGGAGGATGTGGTGACCATGGAGCTGTGGCAGAAGGGAGAGCACAAGAAATTAACCTGCCCAAGCCTCGGTGCTGGAGGGGCCCTGAGGGGAGGGGGGACCCAGCTGGAGGAGCCGGGAGGGGGGAGCCTCGGTGCTGGAGGGGCCCTGAGGGGAGGGGGGACCCAGCTGGAGGAGCCGGGAGGGGGGACCCAGTGCGGAGGGGAGACCCAGTGGGGAAGGGAGACCCAACTGGAGGAGCAGGGAGATGGCACCATGACTGGTAGGGGGCATCTCAGGGGAGACTGGAGACCTGTTCCTGTGGTTGAGAAGGGGGCACCCCTAGGGGAGATGGGAGGCATGACCCATGGAGAGGGAGGAGGGGGTCCTAGCAGGGGGTGGGGGCACTGGTTCAGAGTCCTCTCCCCCTATTGCTTTCTGGTCTGTCTTCCTGTTGCCCCACTGAGAGGCTGCTCTGCCCCATGCCCCTCGGGGAGCGGGTCCCACGGGCTCACCCTGCCCTGCTGGCCCCATCCAGGACTAGTGACCCCTCACCTCAGATTTCCTGTTCCCTACAGCTGTTCGGGCAGCTGCCCAAGTTTCAGGACGGAAACGTAACCCTGTACCAGTCCAACGCCATCCTGCGGCACCTGGCCAGGAGCTTCGGTAGGGCTGTGAGGGGCCAGGCACTGGCAGCTGGGGAGGGGGGCTTCTTGCGCTGGTGGGGGCTCTCCTTTGGCAGGGCTGTGCGGGCAGGAGTTTGGGGGGGCTGGGCGTAGGGGGCGAGTATGGGGGGGCAGAATGTTGGGGGGGCAGGTCTCCTGAGTGTGGGGGGAGGCGGCTGAGGGAGGGCCCCTTGCTGATGGCGGCTCTTGCTCGGGCAGGGCTATAGGGACAGGACCAGCAGGAGGCAGGGCTGGGTGTGTGGGGAGAGGGCTGGGGGAAGCCCCCCTCCCCCCACTGATGGCGGTTCTCGCTCTGGCAGGGCTGTATGGGAAGGACCAGCAGGAGGCGGCGCAGCTGGACATGGTGAATGATGGGGTGGAAGATCTGCGCCTCAAATACGCCCAGCTCATCTACCAGAACTATGTGAGCCAGGGCAGAATCTGCATCGGGCAGGAGGCCAGAGGGGGCGCACCCCTGCAGAGTGGGGGCAGGGAATGGGGCAGCTCCAGCACTGGGGGGTAGGCCCAGTCAGGGTGGGGCAGGAGGCGGCGCAGCTGGACATGGTGAATGATGGGGTGGAAGATCTGCGCCTCAAATACGCCCAGCTCATCTACCAGAACTATGTGAGCCAGGGCAGAATCTGCATCGGGCAGGAGGCCAGAGGGGGCGCACCCCTGCAGAGTGGGGGCAGGGAATGGGGCAGCTCCAGCACTGGGGGGTAGGCCCAGTCAGGGTGGGGCAGGAGTGGCGCCTCTGCTCGGAGGCCGGAGTGGGCCCCATTGCAGTGCGGGCAGGGGTGACTTGGGGCTCAGTGGGGGTGTGGGACCAGCATGGGGGCAGGCCCCATTGTGGTGTGGGTGGGCCCTGTTGTAGTGGGGGGGTGTCTGATTTCAAGAAGGATGTGGAGAAATTGGAGAAGTCTTGGAGATGAGGTGAGTGTGTTGTGGGGAGGGGGTTGGAGATGAGGTGAGTGTGTTGTGGGGAGGGGGTATCTCCCCACTCCTGCCCCCCAAATCAGCTGGGGTGTTTCTTTGTCAGTCTTCTCCTAGCCCAGCTGGCCAGGGTCTCATTGTCCCTGGGCCCCACACAATGGGGGTGTGGCCAAGCTGCCTGGGGGTGTGGCTGTGCCCACCCCCCCCTTCCACATGCAGGGGCGTGGCCATGCGCTGACCCCACCCCTTTCCCCCCAGATCTCTTTTGCAGACTATAACCTGGTGGAGCTGCTGCGGAACCACCTGGTCCTGGCACCCGGCTGCCTGGCCTCCTTCCCTCTGCTGGCGGCTTACGTGGAGCGGGTGGCTGCCCGGCCCCACCTACACACCTACCTGCAGTCGACCGCCCACCGCGACCGGCCCATCAACGGCAATGGCAAGCAGTGACCTGCGTGCACTGACAGAGGGGCCGCCCTGTGGCACAATAAACAGCTACTGGACCAGACCCCTGCCTGCTATTATGGGGGGCGCAGGAGTGGGGGCGGGCTTGGTGCTTAATGCATGAGATGAAGCCTATTTCCAGGTGCTGCAGCAGCCCCCCACTGCGCTAGCAGGTGCCCCCTCCCCTAGGCTGCCCAGGCTGGAGGGCCATGCCAGGAGCTGGGATTTTGGGAACAACTGCTGCTGTCCTAAGCAGCTCGGGGAGGGGGGAGGTGTCGGGTGTGTTACCCAGGCACATGGGCTACCTCGTCCCAGAGCTATTCTGCTCCTTGGCTGTACCCAAGAGCCTGCGGCGCCTAGGGAAGATGCAGCCACCGCTGTGGTGGGACGGGCAGGAGCCCTGGAGGGCTGTGCCCCCATCCAGAGGGGAGAGTGCTGTGGGAATGGCATGCTCTGCATTTATCCTGCCCCATTCCATCGGGCCAGGCTCGGCTGGGGGCAGGCTGTACCAGCAGGGCTGTGCCCGCAAGCCCTGGGACGCCAGGGAGGCCTGGCAGACTCACCGCCACCGAGAGCCTTGGGGCGGGGGCAGGAAGCATGCTGTGGGGCAGGTTGCCTGGTGCAGAGGTTGGTGCTGCTCCTGGAGGTCTTAGCCCATAAAATCCCATTCTCCCCATGTCTAATGAAAAGGCCGTGGGCCTGCTTTCCCCCGCCCTGGGGGCCGGCCCCTGCTCAGCCTGGTGGGCCCAGCCTGAGCTGGGAGGTATGTTAAACGTGGGCGGAAGGCAGGCAGTGTGGGCAGGAAGGATGGTGCAGCCGAGCTGAGGAAGCCTCCACCGCTCGCACGGCAGACGAACCCTGCTCTGCTTAAGGGCCTGGCTGGCCCAGGGGACTTTGACCCCAGCCCAGGAGTGTGCTGAGTGGGGAGGCGGCTAAGGCAGAGCGATGCACTTCAGGGCTGCAGGCCTGGTGACTGTGCAACTAGGGGAGACGTGAGGCAAAGGGGCTGTGGGTTTCTCTGGGAGAGTGAGCCGGGAGCCTGGCTGGTGGTGGCGAGCTGGGCGAGGGGGCTTACGCTACAAGGGTCCATTCTGAGCCCAGGGGCTGGGCTGCTGCACTGGAGGGGACACTAGCCAGAGGGTCTGTGCCTCAAGTGTGGGCCTAGGGACCCCCAGACTGAGACAGGGCCTGGGCTCTGCTGAGGCTCCAGGGGCTGAATGCATCTGGGAGCCCAGCCAGGCAGTCCAGTGAGCAGGCAAGAGGCGGATTAAGGTCTCCTGGGGCAAGAACTCTGGGCCCCCCCTTCCTCCTGGGATGGTGCTGCTGTTCTGCTGCAGCTTCACCCCCTTCCACACCTTCCTCCCCACACCTGCCCATGACCCCACCCTCCAGTCACTCCTTTCCTGGCCTCTCTCCTCTACAGTGGCCTCAAAACTGGAAAGCTCCTCCAGCCCAGAGGCTGTGGGGGAGGGGGGGGGATATTTTCAGGGCCTCCAAATTGGCCAGGGCCCTGCAGCCTGTGTCATATCTGCCACTGCGGAGAGGGCACCTGGCTGGCAGGGGTGATAGCTTCCCCTCTGACTCAAGGGTCCCGGGCTTGCAGCCTGCAGGCCTGGTACGGGGCATATTCACAAGCCGGCCCAGCAGATCTGGTTGCCCGGAGGGGAGGAGGTGTGCTCATCCCTCTCCCCCAAATCCTCCCTCCTGCCCGTCACTGCCCTGACCACTCTCCCCAATAGCACCCCATCCCCTGAGGGACACAGCCCTGGGGATGATGGGGAGTGCTTGGTGCCCCCCCTACTCCCTGGGGCTCCACAGAGCACATGTGAGGTGCCACTTGGCTCTGCTACCCCGTGGCTCCTGCCACCGTGTGGAATGTGGCAACGCTCAACTATAGCTGCTTCCCCCCCCTCCCACCAGCCCCTCTGATAATCTGTGAGGTTGTGTGCCTGGCAGCATGGTGCAATGGGAAGGAGGATGGTGGCTGGAAAGGGATGGGTAGGCCCAGTTTCCTGGGCTGGATTGTGAATATGTTCCAGCTCACAGATGGCCCGTGGGCTGTGAGCTTGAGACCCGTGCACCCAAATCCTCTTCTGACTTCCTGCTCTCCAGGGCCAGCCCCCTGATCTGTAGCTGTGGCTGCAGTCCTGGCTCCTATGCCTCTGGCCATGTTAAAACACGTTTTGTTCAAATGTGCCCAGCTCCCCATGTGCTCTGGAGGGCCCTGTCTCACGACCCCGGGGGCCTTGCTCTTTGCCACACACCCAAACTGTGCCAGCTCCCTGACAGTGCTCCAAGTCAACTGAAATGTTAAGTAGGGTGGGGCTCTGTAAGGCTTCATGTTCCCTGTAAGCTGAGTGGCTGCTCAGGAGTCAAATGCTGCCCAGCTGATTAGCAGAGTACCCACAGCTAGGTTTTGTTTCTCCTGGTGGTACACATTTGCACATTGTTTGGTGCACATAAAATTATTCCACACGGGGATGGAAAAATTAGTGGAACAGGGGTCAGGCCTAGTGCCAGTCCCTGCAGAGCCCCTGGAAATAGATCTGTTGGACAGTGATTTCCCATTGACAACTTCTTTGAGCTCCAGCCATTAGCCGCTTCTTAAGCCATTTAACAGGAGCTTTAGCATGGCCGGATAGTGCTAATTAGTCAATCTGGAGCTGAAGGAATCCCGGAGAGCAGCAGAAGAGATTGGGGGGAAGGGCAGGAGGGGATGGTAGGAGATTAGAGTGGCAGGGCTGGCAGAGGGATACGGAAGGGGATTAACACAGCGTGGCGAGGAGGTGGGGAGGGAAATCTCATCAGATGTTCCCAGAGCCCTGTCGACAACACGAATCCTGCTTGTAGGGGGCAGAAGTATTTTGTCAACGAAGTGCTGACAAACAGCATTTACGTGGCCTTACTGCTAAAAGCTGGGTAGTGGTGCCAAAGCCTCAGACTCGGAGGCAGTAACCCAGAAGGAAGAGTGGGGTCCCGGCACACTGAAGGGTCACTCCAAGAGAGTGTTTCCAGGCTGGGGCCTCGAACAGAGCCTGTGGCTCTGTGTCAGAGGTGGGGTACGGAAGGCATGGGGGGTGTTTTGCAATAAATGACTCGCAGCAGTAAACCAACGTGAGTCAAAGAAGTTGGCAAGAAAATAAGAATATAACCAGCTCCTCAGAGGAGAATCAAGGAACTGGTCAGGGACAGGTGTTGAGAAGTCCAACAAGGTGGAGCTGATGGCATGGTAGAGAAGGCCGATTGGAGCAAAAGCAGGGTCCGAACTCAGGTGGGTTTCCAGGAGAGGCAACTGGTTCTCCTGGCGGCAGGGCTGGCTCGTGAGCTGTTTCCCTTCCATGGGGCTGGAGCAGTGGGAGTGGGAACTGACGACGAAGGAGCTTCACCCAGAGCGACAGAGACTAGGGGCAGGGTGGAGCTGATGGCATGGTAGAGAAGGCCGATTGGAGCAAAAGCAGGGTCCGAACTCAGGTGGGTTTCCAGGAGAGGCAACTGGTTCTCCTGGCGGCAGGGCTGGCTCGTGAGCTGTTTCCCTTCCATGGGGCTGGAGCAGTGGGAGTGGGAACTGACGACGAAGGAGCTTCACCCAGAGCGACAGAGACTAGGGGCAGGTCTAGGGTGGCCAGCGCTGAAAAGACTGAGCACTGCGTGCCAGGAGCTCCTTCGCCACTTTCCTCAGCCCTGCCCCTGCCCCTGCCCACCTCTTCCCTTGTGGTGCTCCCCCCCCCTGAAAGCCCTTATCTCCTGCCCCACCCCAGCGCCTGCACCCCCTCAGGAGCCCTCACCCCCTGCACTCCAACCCTCTGCCCCAGCCCTTGCCCCTCCCACACTCTGAACCCCTCACGAATGTTGTTATGTGCACCACAAAATTCATTACGCACAGGCGTGGGAGAATGGGAGGGAACGCTGCCTGCTGTGCTGTTGCCTGGATGGTCAGTGTTGATCAGAGCCACCGGGGTCCCTTTTCCACCCGTTGAAAACCAGAGGCCTAGCAACCCTAGGCAGGCCTACGGTTAAATCGCTGCAGTTGTGCTCCTGTAGCGCTTGCGCGTAGCCATTCGCCACACTGCCAGGAGATCCTCTCCCATGAGCCCAGGTCATGCTCTTCCCCAGGAGGTATTAGCCAGGTAGATGGGCTGGGAGAGCTCCCCCTCCATGTACAGGCCCAGCCTTAGGGCAAGGCGAGCATGGCGGTTGCCTTGGGCCCTGTGTCTTCAGGACCCCAAGTGGGGTACTAGCTGCCAGTCAGATTTCTTTGTGCTGCACAGACCTGGAGTTATGCTAACCATTGTTTTAGTGTTGCTTAGTGATTCAATTGTATAGCTACAAGCATTTTCAACACATAAAAAAGGCTGGATGAGATTATTTCTTATTATTCCACATGCCATTAACTCGGTAATTTAGCACAGATAAATTAGCTTGCACAGTTTGTTCTATTAGAGACCGGGTCCCTAATACAAGCTGGGTCTCTATTGAGGCCGGGATGTTAGCAACACATCCTTACACTAGCTGATTGAAACACAAAGTTGATACAATCATCATCAAACCTATCAAAAAGGGTCTCCAGTCACAGAAAATCCTACAATCATCTCCAAAATTAAAACATTTACCTTCAATACGAGTCTTTTACTCTGTTAGACATTGGGAGCACTGGCCATATTTTTTAATAGATGCTGGACATGTCAAATAAACGCCAGGTCTGTAATACAAGCCGGGGGTCTTGGATGATTTGTACTAATGGACACTGGGGTCTTCTATTGGATGTTTAATGGTCGTGCGTAATAGCTTTAGAGGGGTAGCCACGTTAGTCTGTAACTGGAAAAACTTGAAAAACAACAAATAGTCTTGCATTATCTTAGAGACTAACAAAACGTGTAGAGGGGATCCCGAGCTTTCACGGGCCGTGTGCCATGACGTCCCAGTGAACAGTAAAAGCAGGGCAGACGACAGTCACACGTTCGCTGGTTGAACTTGTTCTTAACTCTAGAGGGGTTGCGGGACTCACGCTGCCCGGGCTGGACTCTGTAGCCCCTCAACTGGGTTTGACTTATACTAACTAGAGCAGCCGCTGGCCGGGCCCCACAAATTCTTAGGCCGGGCTTGTCCATGTAGCCCTGTCTGCCCTGGAAACCCCCCCCCACTCCGGTTCCTAAGCCCTGGGGGAAGCAGCAGGAGTGGAAGGGCCAGAGGGAAGGGGAGGAGCCAGAGAAGGGGGAGGGGCAGAAGAAGGGGAGGGGCCGGAGGGAAGGGGAGGAGCCAGAGAAGGGGGAGGGGCAGAAGTCCAGGAATACAGAGGCAAACTTGTCCGTGAATACAGAGGCAAAGAATGCATTGAGTACTTCAGCTTTCCCCACATCATCTGTCACAGGTTACCTCCTTCATCTATTAGGGGCTGCACACCCTCTCTGATCACCTTCTTCTTGTTAACATGCCTGTAGAAACCTCTCTTGTTATCCTTCACATCCTTAGCCAGTCG